TGCCTCCACAGGTTTCTGACAAGAGACTGAAGCAGCAGAAGCTCTGTAGGTGCCCCTTAGGTGCTGCCCCTCATGACTTTGGGATAGGAGAACTCTGGCTCTGGGTTGGTAAGACTGTTTTCATGTTCTCCCAGTTCCTGCAGTGGTGTGCCAACACGTGCTACTGTGAGTAAAATACAGTGTATGAACTGCCAAAGCAATCATGTTCTGAAAAAAGCATGGCATTTTTTGTGTTGTACAAAAGGGGTTTCCTGTGCTAAGGAAGACCTGCCCATTTGCCTTTGTGTCTTTTATTCTGCTCAGGAGTGGAGCCTTCCTCTCTCACTGCCTTCCCATGTACAAACAAGTGATTAAGCAGAGGACCTGACCTCTCCTTGTCCATCAGCTGCAATCAGCTACTTCATGATCTCAGAACTGCAATATCATCTTAAAAATTAAACCAAATGCTTTTATTACTTGCACCACAGAGAAAATGTCTTCAAGCCACCAGAACCCAAAGCACTAGGCCATATTTTTAAAGAAGGAAATCTTCATTCATAGCCTTTTAAAGTGGAAGTTGTATTAAGATATGGTCGTGCTATTGCTTTGTTTTGCACAATCTTTTTCTCTCTGTATAAATATTTATTTATATTTATTTTTTTAATATATATTAAAAAGCTCCTTCTTTTCCCCTGTCTTGCTGTCATTCCTAAACCTGCAGCCAGGAGCTCTCCAGCTCACAGAGGTGCCTGTTGTGCAGGGCTGGTACAGCTGTGAGGGAGGCCCTGCTTGCTGCAGCCTCCTCCCAGTGTAGCTGGACGAACTGTCCCCAGGAAAATTCAGCCTCCAGAGGCAAATTCTGGTGGAGAGAATGAGCAGGAGGAGAAAGTTCCAGTGCTTTGAGTGGGAGGCAGAGCTGTATGGGAGGTGATGAGCTTCCAGACAGCTGTTAAAACCACATCTGTTCCGGAGCAGCCTCTCAAAGTCTGTGTCCAGGGTGCTGCATTGCTTATGCTTGGACAATGACCAACTCCTCTGCCAGCTTCCTGCACAGGACCCTTCCATCATTTCCCAAGGGGAGCAGCATTTCCAGGGCTGGGCTCCCCTGTTCTTCATGCACTGCCCAGATGGCTCTCCTGAAGGGTGAGGGTGCTGAAATGGGGGGAAGCTCTGTGGAGCTCTAACTTGTAAGGGCTCAACCAACAAACACATCCTTTCAGATCCCTTCTGTGACACAGACATGGCTGCACCAGCTGCATTCCAGATCCTGTTTTTATGGAGGTAACACACCTCCAACTGCTGCATTATAGGGAGCAGCAGCAGTACTGTTAAGTCCTGAAGTAGCCAAGTGTGACAGTCTCCATTTGTCATCCCCCCCAGATTAACAGCTCCTTGCCAGTGGATTTGGTAGAGCCTCTCATCATTAAAGCTGTTTCCTTGCAAACAGATGGCTGCAGTGTGTGACATCCTGAGTGCCTGTGGGACCCAGCACAGACTGAGGGGCTTGCTCAGCCCGTGGGGGTTGTATCTGCCTCCAGCCTGGTGCTGGTGAATGAAGAAATGCAGCTGCAGCCTCACACGCCGCGGGACGGATGTGCCTGACACCAGGCTGTCTGCTGAGGGCTGGGGGAAGCATCTGCCCTGCTTGAGCCCCAGCAGAAAGCTGTGCTGCAGAGGCCCCAGCAGTGCAGTGTCACTGCTGCCCTGGGCTCTACAGACAGCTGTGCCCAGCAGAGTGTCGGGGAGAGCAGCTGGATCCTGCTGAGGCAGTGAAGGGCAGCCTCTCCCCAGAGAGGAGACAGCCCTGCAGCAGCTGTGCAGGGGAAGGTGCTGCAGCCCCAGCCCTGCAGCAGCTGTGCAGGGGAAGGTGCTGCAGCCCCAGCCCCAGAGGCCTGGCACTGGTGCCTGGGAGCAGGGCTGGCTCACAGGGTGTGCAAGGCCCTATGCTACCTATGAAAGACTTCTGGACTATGAACAGCACCTGGCTCTTAGAGGCTACTCAAACAGGAAACAGCTGTGCTCAAGGACGTTTTAGGGAGGATATAGAGACTCACGTTAGTTTGCCTGGAACTTGCTGCTGAGCACTCATCAGGTCAGAGGCTCTGTCAGAAGCCAGGAAGCTGTGACCTGGGTGTTGGTGGCCTTGGTTTGTGGCTTGGTTCTGTCTCTCACCCTGCATTTGGAGCTGTTTGAGCCACCTGAGGATGACTGTGAGGGGCACTCTGGAAATCCTTTTTATATGAAGCCACTAAGACTCTGGTTTTACCTTATGTGTAACTCTTCCTGTAAAAAAAAATGTGCCTTTTTTTTTCTTGTTGCTGTTAGAGAGAAAGAGAGCTGTCTGGCCTTGAGTTAATGCTTTTTCCTTCTCAAATCCATTTTTTCCATAGGTTGTCACCAAAACACATTGTGTTTATGATTTAAAAAAAGGAGAGGCTGGCCAAGGCTCAGCAATCCCTTTCTGCAGGGGGCAGTCTGGGCAGCAGGATTGCAGGTAGCAGGATTACAGGCAGCAGGATGGCTGCTGGCAGCAGGTGCTCTGCCCCAGCGTGTGCAACAGAAGGTGCTGCACAATAGAGCTTAGCTAAAGTGAAACCTTTTATCTAGCTGCCCTCCTTTTTCTCTCCCCTTCCTACACTAACAGCCTGGGGAGGTTGTGTAACTCGCTCTGGGCAGTGAGCCTCTCCATAAGAGGTTTACAGAAAACCTGCTCATTGCTCCTTTCATTTCCAGCCCTTACTGGAATTCAGGTGAAATGCCAGCTTTGCTGTTGCTCAGGATTCACCAGAATGTCACACCACCTCCCTGCCTGCCTCCTGTCCTCCAGCTGTGGCACAGGACCACAGCACTGGCTGCATTTGGAGGTTTTGTGAGCACAGGCAGGAGAGGCTCCCTCCCATACACCTGCATGGCACTGGGGCTGCTCCTGCCTGTAACATTTAGCAGACCTGGCTGGGTATTGGCCCTGCAGAGCTTTATTTACACCCTGTGCTCCTCTCTGGGTGCCCTGGACACCATCTCCAGCACACAGGCCTTGGGAAAGGGTTTCTTACAGCTGTGTTGTGTCCACCATGGATGGGACAGCAGTGTAACATCTCCTTCCTGCCAGCACCATTCTTTAAGGTCCATGGCCTGGAGCAGAAAGAATGAGAAACAGAAGCCTGTACTTCTCATTGGAGTTTAACACTTCACAGCTCAGGAGCAGCTGGGGCCATGCATGCTCCTCCTCCTCCTCATCAAAAATCCAGGCTGAGGAACATGAGAAATGCCTTGCAGCAGTAGGGAGCTGGAAGAGGCTGCGAGCTGTGGCAGAGCCAGAAATCCAGCTTGGATAGAAACTGAGTGTTTGAGAAACTGGGAGTGAGACTCGGTTGGAGCAGCTGGCTCACTTCTCCCTCCTGAGCCCCTGTGAAAGCTGAGTCAGCATTCTGTGGGAGCCGTGAGTGTCTGAGAACTGGTGTGCACCTGGGAACTGGAGCATGCCTGAGCTGTGCCTTGGGACAGCACAACACACAGCTTTCCTTGAACCTTTCTGATTCTTTCCGTTTATTTGCAAAGCAAATCTCCCCCTCACCTTCTCTTAAGCTTTCTTGGCTGGCTGCTGCACCAGTGCCATCCTCTTCCTCCACTGCTACCCAGCTCTGCAGAGCAGAGAGGATGGTGTGCAGTGGGGACACCTTCGCCCTGCTGTGCCCTTTGGGCTGTGACACCTTCAGGCAGGGGTTGAGGAAGGAACCCCTTCTGGCCAGTGATCCCCACACTTCACGTGTGGGAGTCCTTCAGGAGGAGGCTGTGGCCCCACACACCCTCCAGCCTGCAGATGTTTCCCAAGGTGAGCATTGGAGCTGCTGCTCTTCCTGGCCACATGGAGCTGCAAACTGGAATGAATCTCTGGTAAGGCCTTTATTTAGCTACAACAGAAAGAGCACAAACCATCAGGAAATGCCCTATTAATGCACTGGAGATAGAATCAGGCTGGAAAACTCCAGGCTGGGCTGTAACAGCACATAGCCTGTGATTTAAAACCCATGTGTTCAGCAGGCCAGAAGCCAGGAGCCCCAGGCTCTAATCCCAGTGCTGAGCTCTGCAACAGAACTTCAGGAAGCGGAGGAGAGGCTTTGTTTAAATTTCCCCATGTTTTCCTGGGCAGGATCCTTTTACCATAGGCATTAGAAGTTTAAGAATTGCTTGGTTTCTTGGGGCTTCCAGTTGGTGGAAGGCGTGTGCATTTCCCCAAAAGCCATCAGCAGCATGCACCAAGAAAAGGGGCTGGGTTGGTTCTGGTGGTGTTTTTGGTTTTTCCTAATTTTTTTTCCCCTGCTGTGATTAAGAAAAGTTCTTGTTCATCAAGAAGGCATTCTTTAGAGGCATTATGCTCTTCCTCATTAGAGCATAAAAGCAGTTCATAGGTCTTTTGGGGCTGGCAATAGTAAGACCTTCGAACACCTAAAGTAAGCTGATCTCTAACAGAACTGAGGATTAGGTTCAAAACTGCAATACGTTTCTGACTGGATGCAGATTCAGCAGCTGGGCTATTTTTGGCTTGTGAAGCATTCTAATGGCTGTTTATTTTTAAGGTCATTTTCTGTTTGCATAGCATGTACACCCTTCTGGTGGGTGGGAGGCATTGTAAAAACAATCACTGCTGTGCAGAGTTAGGAACTAAGCCGGGAGAGGGATGGAAAAAACAGAACTCGGTGTACTTATTGCTTTAAAGCCCAAAAACATCTGCTTAGGTCATAAGGTTTGTTGGCCCACTCTGAGCTGTGTCCCCACCGGAAAAATACCATTCCAATTAATACAGACTACTGCAGGGGATTGCAGAAGACTTGGGAAAAGTCTGTCAGACGACAACATGGTATAAATAGAAAGGAAGCATCAGATTCGATGCCCATACCTTCAAGCAGGAAATAGAAACCAGAGCAGTCTCCCCACAGCTGAGGAGTCACAACTTGTGCTGGGCTGGCCAGGCCTGCATCCCAGCTCTTGTTAAAACTTCTGTTCAATAATAACACTCTTTATTGCCCTGCTTTCCTGGCTCCTTCCTCTTGGCCATATCTTTATTCACACACAGTCAAGTGATACAAATTCACTGGAACAGTAGCAGTTTATAAAAGACAGTAAGAATAATTATCTTGAACTGAATTTAAGAAAAAACACAACAAAACATGGCCATCTGTCAAGCAATGCACTGATTGTTAACAGGTCACGGTAAGGAAACATTTTAGAACATTGGCAGTGTATTCCCAGCCATGTTGCTTTTCCAGACCACAAAATACACAATACAAAAATATACTAAAATTAATAAGGGAGTTTGTAGAAATGTCTGCTGCAAAACTATTGCTGTTGTCTGATTTCCTCTATAGTTACTCCCATGCTACATGATGATAGAATACTTGAATAAGCACAGTTTATTTCTATCTGAATTTGAACTTTAAAGCTGATCTCAAGTAAACTGTAAAGTCTTTGGCTCCCATCCTTGAAGTACAAAAAGGACCTTAACTTTGGACTTGTGAGACTGGTAAGGCAGGAGGTGAGCCCACAAGTGAGAATCCAATGCCTTGGGCAGCTGCCCAGGAGGGAAGGGGAAGCTGAAGTGCTGTACTTCACAGGATCTTAATTTGGGGCTTTTTCCTGGATTTTTAAAGACTTTTAACAAGTCTTCCCTGGTCTGTCCTTTTACCTGATAGGCTTGAGTTTTTCAAGTTTCTAGTATTCTGGTAAAACTGCCTGTGTTTGAGATCTGGGCTCTGCACTTTAGTTGAGTGAACTGCAGTACCTCTCTCCCTCTATTTCACTGCTCAGTGTAATTTTCCCTGTCCCTTTCCCCTCTCCTTCCTCCTCCTGGCTCTGTGCCACTGGCATGGCCTCTTTCCATGTGAGAGAGCTGGATGCTCCAGTGCTTTGTGAGGGCTGCTCACACTGAGCCTCACACAAGCTCCCTGCATTCAAAGTACCACTCTCTTAGTGTTTCCAACCTTGAGAGACACAGGTGAAGACAGGGAAGCTGGTGCTGGCCTTACTGTGCAGGGATGAGCAGCTATTCCCTCAGGCTGGCACACTTGCAGTGAGGATCTCGGAATGCTCATGGAAAGCAGCATCCAGAGTGGCCCTTGCTGTGACAGGAACACACTGTGAGCAGGCAGATGTGTTCAACTCCGGGATTTCTTGCTTCTTTTTCTCCCAAGAGCCAATGTCAAGACATTTCAAACAAGAAGTTCACATTGCTGAGTTTTAGCAGAGAGGAAGAATAAGGCACCGAAGGTGAGCTCATTTGGCCAAGACTGATCCACAGGGTGCTGCCCCAGTCCTCAGTGCTCTCCACTGAGCTGCCCTCTCTGTGCTCACATGGTGTGAGATGTTCTCAGAGGGGTAACCTCATCTCTGCTCTGACACCACACACAGGGGCCAAGATCCACCTTCCTAGGCATGGCCTTCAGAGAAAGCTTTGAGAAGGACACACATGGGAGGGCCTTCAGAGAAAACATTGAGAAGGACACACACTGGAGGCCAGGGGTTGGCTTCTCAGTGTCTGAATGGCACCAGCTCCCAGGGAGGTCAGCTGTGGAAAGATGACCAGGATACTTCTGAGGTATAGAACTCAGTGTCTGCTGGCCACTGCTCGGCCTTCTCGTCGTCAGACTTGTCGCTGTCATCGCCACTGGAGGGCTCGTAGCCCTGGATGGTGGAGCGGATCGGCTCCGTCTGCCTCCGATCCGCCTCTGCCTCCTTCTTCTTCTCCGCCAGCAGCTGCCTGTAGCACAGGCTGCAGACCCTCAGGGGCTTGGGGGACAGCCGGGGCATCAGGAACCTGTGCCTGGAGCAGTCTGCGCACACGACGAAGCCGCACTTGCGGCAGTGGTGCCTGCGGGTGAGCGTGGAGAACTTGGTGTGCGTGCAGCGCATGCAGATGTCCGTCGCCTTGTCTGGGATCCAGGGAGCCGCGTGCTCCCTGCAGGGCTGCCGGCCCGTCTTCGTCAGCAGGTGCTTGATGCACTCCTCCAGATGGCTGATCCACTCCTTCCTCTCCGTGAGGGAGGCTGCGGAAACCACAAAGGACTTCTTGGAGGTTTTAATCATCCAGCGGTTCTTCATCTGCAAGGTGTCTGGCAGCGTCTCCAAAGTGACATCTTCAAGGGGGATGATGTGCTGGGAATTGTACTTCCTTTTGTTGATGATTATGCTGCCGTAGACGAGGATGTCGTTGAAAAGGAAAAATATGCGAGGCTTTGGTTTCTTGCGGCATTCTTTGGTTAAAATCCCTTCTCCCAGAAGGACCCTGCCTGGCAAGGCTAAGGGCTGTCCAGAAGCCCCAAAGCAGTTTTCCACAGCAGCAATGCGCTGGCTGTTGATCTCGGTATTTGCAAGATGGTCCACCATCTCCAGCTCACTCTGAGGAGAGGAAAACAAAGAGGGAAGTGGTGAAACTGCAGGCATCTGCACCAGGGTGAAGGTGAGCAGCCAGTGTAGGCATGAGTGAGAAGCTCCTAATGCAATCTGAGGCTACAGGTAATCTCACGAGCACTCCTCCTTCTAAACAAAATCTTCAAACTTCATTTTGCAACAGCCCAGGCTATACTGGAATGGCTCAATTTGCAGCAATAGAAGCCCTTGAAGGCAGAGCCAGGTCTTCCTGGTCCTGCTTTTTACCAGTCTACCTGTGCACCCTTGGAAAAGAAGGCTGCTTTCAGGTCTGAGCCTGATTTTATGTAGAGCCATAGATCTGCATAAAGGGGTCTTGAGAGCAAACCTCCTGTTTCTGACTGCACACCTGCTCTCTCAAGGACTGGTTACAGACACACACTCCCCACAGCTCCATTTTGGGCCAGAGCTGAGGCATGAACAAAAGAAAACGCTGTGATATCGCTTGTTCCTGCTGGTCTTCCATGGATGAGAAAAAGGGTAAAAAAAAGAAATTAAAAAAGCCCTCACAAGGTGAATAAACCCACACAAGCTAAGCCTTTCCTCCGTTATCCCAGGACTGCTGGTGCTTCCAAATGCAAGACACATCATTCTGAAAACTGTGAGCTCTGCTGAAGGGGAAGTGGAATGCAGCACACTCATCTCTCCCACACCTCTGCACCCTCCTTCTCACACAATCTGGGGGTTTGATAGTGTGCTGTGTTTTTGGTCTAACAGGAAACCCAGGTAAGGGTAACTCTGAAGTGAAAGCAGCTGCTTGCTCTTGGCAGCCCGCAGTGAGGAAGGTGCTCCCTGTAAATGGACTTTTTTGTTGCCCCTTGCAGGCTGGAGGGTGCTGCCCCAAGGCCAGCTGGCCATGGGAATGTGAGTCATTTCCTCCTGCAGCGAGGTAGCTCAGCCATCACGAGGCAGCTCCCAGATCACAGGGGCATGTGTTGTTACCCTGGCTGCTGCTAATGGCTCCACTGATGCAGAGCTGGAGGGAAGGGATAGAGGAGGATGACAATATGCCTGCTCCTGTGTGTGGGGGACATTCTACCCTTGCTCCTCACCGCCAATCACCCCTTTGCTGTGCTGGAGGGAAACCACAGAGCTGCTGCTGAAGGCTGCTGCACCCCGTGTACCTCTCACCTGGCACACAGACCGGACAATTCCTCTGAGTTCCTTCCCTAGGGTGAAAAGGCACAAGGCCAAGACACAGGTTTAGCCATGGGAGACCTAAATGAGGCAACCTACCCTGCAGGAACAGCTTTCACTGAGAGGCTGAGTGCTCCTGAAGAGCTGCCTTCCCTGGGGTCCCCCTGGAGCTGGAGGGAAGGATGTGCATCCTCAGGGCCTCAAAGCACTGGAGTGCACGGGATGGAGCTGGGCAGTGCTGGGCACATCCACTCACGTGGCTGGGCAGTTTACATTCACTGACTGCTCCAGCCTGGCTGCAGCAGCAGGGGCTGAAATCACACCCCAACCAACCTGCCATGGCACAGACATGCAGCAGCTGGGCAAAGCTGTCATCAGAGGGGAGGGAGCCTCCATTCCCTCCGTGGATCCATCAGCCCGAGTGGGTCTGTGCATGGAGAGCCCTGCTGCTGCAATAAGCACCATGTGTAACACCCTCTCCCTCTTAAATACACAAATTAGGCTGAAGAACAAACAGGTAGGGCAAACTGTTGTCCACAACTGTGCACCAAATTCCCTGACTAGGGTTACCCAGACTCTCACCTATCCTGGCGTGTGGTCTCTCCACAAATCCCTGCATGAGGAGTTTCTGTGTGAAAGAGCAAGATGAGCACATAAATACAAAAGGAAAAACGCAAATTACAGCTTGGGATCCTTGGTGTGCAAAGACTGTGAATATACTGCAATAATACACTCAACTTTTGGCACCAGCAACACCAAATGGGATAAACCAAAACAGTCCCACCACTTTCCTTTCCTCACGCTTCTGGGTTACAGAGCTCTTAGCCAAGCTCTTTTACTTTATGTAGTTTAGAGGCATGGCCCAACCTCTCAAGAACTGATGGTACTTGAATGACTCTGTTTCTAGGGATCTCTGCACACCAGATTCCAGTGGAAATGAAAATATTTTGTCAGATATAAAGACCTTGCCTGCACAGAGCCAGGAAACCCAAACTCATTTTCAAAGAGGAGTGTAAGCTCTGCTGCTGTGAAAGCTTTAGCTGTTGCATTGACCTGGGTCCCTGCACCAGAAAGCTCTTGGACTTACTGCATGGAGCAAAAGGAGAAGGGGCTGGACACAATCCTGTAGTATGAAAAAAAAATGAAGGTGAGCTCTCATTACACATCAGACTTCCACCTGCAGGTATGTCCTTACTCCTCCACCCTCTAATTTGCTACCTAGTTAAAATACCATGAATTAGCCTAAGAAAAGCCAGCTCTGTCATGGGAAAATCTCCTCTGCTGAGACTGAAATTGTTGGCTGCTCTAGCCCAGGGTATTTCTTGAAGGAGTTTTCCTGGGATGCAAAAGCAGAATGTTTTCCTTCCATCTCTCTCCCCGCTCAGGCATAAGTGACTGGAGAACAGCACATATAATAAAAAGAAAAAAAAATAAATAAATAGTAGGAGTGGGACTTACAGTGCCTACTTTTAGGCTTGGACAACTCACCCTATCCCTGTGTGTGCTCCCTGTTCAGGTAGGGGGACAGAAACAGCCATCTGAGGGGCTGACCCATCACATCCCACCACAAGCCAGATCCATCCTGCCCCAAGTTCCACACAGCACTTGGCTGGACTGGCCACATAAAACACAATTTCATGTTACTGCTGTGACTCACTGCAAATAATCCACAGTTTGGCTTTGGAACGTAAGCACTTTGGGAATCTGGTAAATAAAGATAGCTGCTGAGTGTTACTATGGTCTCCTTTCCTGGGAGATGAGAGCCTCTCCCTTTGGAACAAAGTGAGGATATGAAGACTAATCTATTTTATTCATTTTGGTAAACGATTTTTTTCCTGTTTGCTCAAGTTTGCTGTGTCAGGTCAGCAGGGTCACAGTGCTTATTACCAAATGCCACATATGTCTGTGTACCACATGCAGCAGCAGCAGCTTACCCAGCTGAAGTTAGGGGGGCAAGATGTGTTTTTCTGGCGTGCTGCTTTTCACAGAAGTTTTTGGCATGGCAAATTCTGGGGTTGTTTTTTTCATCAAGATCTGCTGGTTCTGCATGTGATCAAATACTATGCAGTGAATATGACTATGACTGATGTTCAAAGGAAAAAAAAAATACAGCTTGGCACTCCACTCCAGAAGTAAGCACGCCACAACACTTAACAATGAGCGCTTGTTCACTTGTGATTATAAACAGCCATGTTGATGCCTGCCAGGCACACCATTTCAACTTAAGCTCACGGGTCAACAAGTCAGGGGTATGTTTTTCAAGTCTGTATGTATCTAAGGCTTAGGTGTACTGATGTAGCGAGCTGTTCTACCTGATCCTTGCGTTCCTGCCGTCAGGCAGAACTGACAGCCTCGGCAGCCATGCATACCTCATGCATACCACGCATGGGATGGTCCACGACACCGAGATCTGACTGCTGGGGGCTGCCAGCGGAAAATGCCCCGAGCCTCGTCTCTCTGCAGCTTTCCCTGACTCCCTCTTTCTGCTTTGCTCTGAGAAATCCCTCCTGGAGTTAGGGCTGGCAAAAGCTCTTGCTCACCATGGTCAGCAAGTAGGACGCAGCTGCCCGAGCAGGCATTAGAGCAAGAACAAAGTTCCTCTCCTTTTCCTGCCCGAGGGCATTGCAGCTTGCTTCTCCCTGTTTCCCGGCGTGCTGTAACTGCAGGGCCACGGAGCGCTCTGGTAATCTCCTTCCTGCCACGCTTGTGAGCAACCCAATTCAGCACGTGCACATTTGGGGACCGGCTGGCACATCGGGCCTTTAAGAATGTCGCCAATGCCGGTGGGACACGGGCTGCCTGAGCTACCAAGCCTCTCGTCACTGCTGCTCGGCTCACGGCCAGAGGCAGGGGAAGGCCGGGCAGCGGCTCTTGGGGAGCTCCGGCTGATGCTACCAAACCCAGCCGCTGGCAGCCTGAGCTCACTTGCGGCTCTTGGAAGTGCCAGCCCGGCTCAGAGGCGCCCGAACAGCAGAGGAAGGGAAGGAAGGGAGGGAGGAAGGGGGAAAACCACGAAATTCAAGGCAGAGCCTTACCCTGCACTCATCCGAGGCGCTCCGCCGCTCACCGGAGCCGTGACCAGCGGCAGGCACGGGCTGGCTGCCGAGGGGGGAACCAGGGGGGAAGCGACAATTCCCTGTCCGGCCCTGAGCCCGGCAGCGCACGGGGCTCTCTGGAACAGGGGCCCGGCCCAAGCCCGCTCCTGCACACAGCTCCGCGGCGAG